TAGATCGAACCATTTCCTTAGCCTGCTTAGTGGATGTTGGAGGAAGCGTTTCACAAGGTGTCACATCTAGAGATTGGCTTTTGCCCGGTGCAGAATCGCCGGGGCATGTCCCATGTCCCACCCATGTCCCACCAAACATGCTACCGGGCCCCACCGCATCAACCAGGCTGCATAAGGTGAGCTGATCCTGCTCGTTGTACATCATAGTCACCAGACTTAAAAGCCGATGGAACATATACATGGCGCTTAACCGAACCACCCTCTGTGCAGACCGTGGGCGGCCAACCCGTTGGACGCCTGCAGAGTCTGCAGGGCGGGAAATGACTTTGTGGGGTCTATGGTGGGTTCGTATCCGAAAATAGCACGTGGGCCAAAGGAGTCTTGGTCTGCTTCCCTTCTTCCAGAAGGTTGTTTGGGGGGGTTCCACTCATTCTAATAATCACAAATACCCATGCGTTTTGACAGTTGTCATGTGGAGTTGCGAAACCCGACGCGTTGATCACAGGAACAGTGTCATGAAGAGGATCATTGGTATGGTTCGTCTTTGCTCATCAGTTTGAGCCAACTGCTGATAAATGGATTTCTCCGCTGTGACGAGTCTCTCCGTTCGTCGGTGAACATATATTGGCATTTGAGACGCCGCATACAGTAACTATCCAACTTGAACACATTACTGGCCAGCGCCAATGACGCAAACACATGCTGAAAAAACAAATTGTGGTGCCAAAACATGTGGCAACAGTTGTCCAAAGCTTCTCATATGGATTCCTTCGGCCATCTTCGGGCTTTTGTGGCTACTGGTTGCGACCACCGAGCCGTTTTGCTGCCGACTTTGGGCGGGTGCACGAACCATGCTGCCTTCAGCATCACGGTGGCGCAGCTAAGAACGGAACTGGCTGGGAACCGCCAGAAGCGACACCCTCCAAGAAAAGCCCAAAGGCTTCAACACTGGATTCATGGGATATATTGGGTCTGTCTACTATTACCTGTAACAGTGGATGATGGTTAGGTTGCAGGCCTTGTTTAAAACGGAGTGATGTGCTTTGTTTACGGGTCCTGTTGCAGGTAAGTTCGGACGGACCCGTAGGCCCTAGGGATATCGTCACCGTCTACAAACAGGACCGGGGACCGACCATCCAAAGGGCCGGGCCCCCCATGGAGTGGTAGACCACCCAAGCATCGTCAATGACTTCAAAACAACGCAATTGTTGTGTCAAGGTATTGAAATATATATATATATATACATAATATATATATATATTGGGGTTGGTTCACCAATTTGTGGTGACTCGATCTGTTTTTGGATCTCTTGCGCTGGCACTTACTGCTGAGGATTCTTGCCTACAGCAGCGGTAGTAGCAACAGTCGTAGCAACAATCGTCGTCATAGCAGAAGTGGACAGTTCAAAGCAGGCAAGCAGCTAGCAGTTAGCGTGTAGTCGGAACTGTTCCAAAAGTTGCTGTAACATATGCTACAAACCTGGCTACAAGCCAACCATAACAACGGCAACGAAACTAAGTGTTTAGGATGAACTGTTGTTTAAGTGTTTTGGTGCCGTTGTGTGAGTTGATCACGTGTTTTAGGTCTCTTTTCTACTGTCAACTAAATGAGCTTACAAAACTTAAAGGTAACTGAAAGAAGTTAACCCTTTTTTTTGCAAAAACAAAAACATCACGAGAAAGGACTGCAGACTTCTCTTCAGAATCAAAACCTTGGAGTGCGTGTCAAAACTGACGGAGACACAAGAAGCCGAGAGGAAAGATTTCTGAGGAAAAAAAACTCAAATAGTGGATGCGGTCCAATGGGCCTACAGGCACACAAGAAGGAATATGTGAATGTGAAATGTAGCAACGTTTAGATTATTGACTCGTATTGTTAAGGATTGTAAAGCTGCAAACAAAACTCCAATTTTTGCGTGCACAACAATACAGAATACTCAAGACTATTGAAGGTTACCTTAGCTAAAGCGCGCTAGATCTTGTTACTATGTTGACCGGATCAATCATGTTCGAACCCAGTGTGGCTGCACCGAACGAACGTGAGCTCTCGGTGGGTCCAGGCCGGACTTCTACTTCTTGTCCTCTTGAAGCTGCCAAAGACGTGCTTTAAACCCATGAGTCCGTTCCCTTCTCGCTCTCTGGGCCAATTGTGTAGACGCATCTGTTTGGAGGCTTGTGTTCGGAGCAGCTTGCATTGAGCGTCCGGAACGTGTTGACTGAAATCACGAAGCACACTATGTTTGGCAATTTGCGTGATGCGAGGTTGTGCAAAAAGGATTTGACTACCTGTATTCCTTTTTATCTGGAGCTACAAAGACTTCTAAATGATACGTTTCATAAGTTCAACATTATGACTCATAAACTGGTTCCAACTATGTTGGTGTCCGAACTTAGCTTGAAAAACGCAAAAAACACAAAAAAAAGTAGTCCTCGACGGCACCGTAGTAGCGGCGGCGGCAGCAGTAGTACTAGCAGTAGTGGCGGCACTAGCAGTAGTAATCGTAGAAGTAGAAATAGAAGTAGTAGTGTTCGTCGTCGTCGTCGTAGTAGTAGTAGTGGTGGAAGAAGTAGTAATAGTAGTAGTGGTGGAAGTAGTAGTAGGAGCAGTAGCAGTAGCAGTAGTAGTTAATACAGTACGCAGTGGTAATACTATTAGTGGTGGTAGTAGTAGTAGTAGCTTGGTAGTAGTAGTAGTAGTAGTAGAAGTAGTAGTAGTAGTAGAAGTAGTAATAATAGCAGCAGCAGTAGTGGTAGTAGTAGTAGTAGTAGGGGTGGCTCCAGGATGGTGTTCATCTTACAGGCCGAGGATTTTGTAGTATGACTCCGTTATCGTGAATAGTTGTGTCATTAGTGCTGATACACCCAAACCATTAATGACATACGCGACATGCTTGACTCAAAGGTCGCGACAACACTTCTAGGCAAGCAAATGAAATGCTGCAGTGACCCGTCACAACCCCCCCTCCATTCAAAGCGTTTTATTTACAGCAAGACACCTGCACACATGCAGGAGCTGTTCAAATCCTACGACAAATGTTTGGAGAGTTCAGATATGTTCAGATTGCATCAACAAATATTAGCGCTTTCCAACGAGGAGTCGAGCCATCTACACTCTGACGAGCACATCACATGGAAGCAAGAACCCCTTGAAGCGCAATGTTTGCTCTATAAACAGCGATAAACAAAGGGAGTTCCAATCCCATGCGAGGTGTTCCTTGCAGTGTAGATGGATCGCTGAGCCTGAGCGTGAGCAAAAGGAGCGGTGTAAAAAACCGGTCTACGATCTGTTATTGGCGGAGCTTCCGCGACCTGCGTTTTGGCTTCTGCGGGCCATGTTTGGTTGAAATCCTCTTCCGTGGAACTTCCGCGACGTATTTCTCAAAAGTGCTTATAGGTTAGACAAATCTCCTTAAAGTAAGAGGCATTTGTTATTGTCAAGAAAGCTCAAGAAGATAACATGTGCACTTCCGCAAAGCTTCAGCGATGGTGAATTTTACCTATACTTCCGCGGTGGCTTCCGCAAGCTTCCAAAAACGCAGTTTTGGGCTTCCGCGGGCCAGTTGAGGTGGTGTATATCACCCCCTCCACCTTTCCCTATGCGAATACTCATTTCTTATACAGTGGGTTCAGAGTAGATGGCACAATCCCCAATGTCAGTGGTTTATATGGACCCCCATCTAAATGACATGTAGGGGTGCCAGTGCCATCTACTCTGAAACCACTGTAGTACATGATTTTTCTTAATACTCTCTCAGTTGGTCAGCGTCGTAGGTCCGGTGAGCGCTGTTGATGGCGGAGGACGTGCCACGGTGTGCCACTGTGTTTCAGAGTGTTTCATCAATGGCCCAAATGGTGTAATAGAGTAATCTTGATTAGTAATACCCATGTAGACTCAAGATATCGAGGGTATTACTAATCAAGAGTCTACAATTAGATATCTGTATACTCTTGTCGGACCGCAGTGGCCAGCATTTGACGTTCGATCTGCTGCTCCCTTCCTGGTCGTGCTGCGATATTAACACTGCCTGGTCTGTGCCCGTGAAGGATGGACCAAAATCGTCGTCGGCCACGGGCGCTCAGCGTCACTCATGTCACTCATCATGTCCTGCTTGGAGGGTCCGCTGCAGCGACGCCCTCCTACTCCTGCGGCCCGTCACTGCTTTTGCAGTCAGGACCTAAGACCTAAGAAAGACCGCTCGGCTCGCTCAGTGCCTGGTCGGAATACACGTTTGGGTGGTTTCACGGGTCAATGTAGGCATGTATTCATTCCATAGATGGAGTGTCTGGCAAAGGACAAGAATTCGCTTATGGACACCAAACACCCGCAAAGAGGTGTGCATTTACAGTCCCCTACAAGGATAAGATAAGGAAGTGCCCATTACAGCATGGGGTCCTGATGGTCCTGTCCTGGTAGTCTAACTTGAGAGGTTCATTGCAGCGAAACCCTCCGAAACCCACTAACACCATGGATCCTGGAGCAGAGCTGAAAAAAACACCGACGTAAAAACCATCAGAATCAGAACAGCTGTGTGACTCATTTCTGTAGGGACAGTTGAACAGAAGACACCAACAGACTCAACCATCTGGAGTTCCTTCCAGCGGCAACTCCGCCATACTTCGATGCTACCAGGAGTTGCCGTAGACGGTTGATTCATAAACCATCATAAACCTGCCCATATCATGCCATATCAAGATGTATAACCCTTCTGGTAGGGGATTATTGATCAGTCTACATTGATGCTCTTTGAAAACACCAGACCCGCCTGCTGAGTCCAAGTCTTTCTCTTCCAAAACCCTCAAACCCTGGTCTAGCAACCTGCGACTTGCCGCCCAAAAAATCTTGAGTCATTATGTGTGGGGGTCATTATGTAGTCAACCAATGAATGAAACGTAGCACTACCAAAGGCTCTTTTGATCTCTTTGGTATCTTTCTCACCGACGCAAACTGCACGCCAACACGTATCGGCGCCAACACTGGGCAAAGCCACAAGGACCCGAGCCTCAGCGATTCATATACAGGGCATCCACCTCCTTCCTCAGCCGTTTTTCTTACCCGCGCATGGTGTTTGGGGTGCCCTTGGATAGGGATAGGGGATGATGGAGGTGCTTAGGGGGAGGTCGTACGATGAGAGAAGGAGCGGCGGTGAACCAAAAAGGCTTCGATGGTAAAGGGCTTTTGCAGGCCAAAAAAAGGGAGAAATTCACAACAGCGGTGCGCACTTTTGGCATAGCGCGAGTACCGACACAAACCAAAATTCCATCATACTCCGAACATATCCAAAGATCTCAAAGCAAAAGAACGCAAACATCCCCAAGTTTACACGGTGAACATCATCTATATATACTATGTCCAAATGAGATGGGACTTGTAAAATGTATGTCGTCAACCACCAGTCCTATCTCATCAGCGTACAACCATGTTTTTAGAGCTTCCACAAATCCCATCTCATCAGGGAAATCAAGAAAAACTATGCAAAACGAGAATCACTAGAAATCACTCCAGGTGATCCGAAAAGAACAAAGCGCACGTCTTTTCTAGCTGCTATATGCAAGGTTTGATGATTTGCTTTGTTTATAATACTTGCGGTATATATTGTCTTGCCAGGGCACCTCAGCAGCCACCCCCACCCCCCCAAAACAAATAAACACATAAATTTGATGTCCACAGCCCACAACTCCTATCTCATTGCAATTTGTCAATGGAAGACGCCAGCATTTTGCACATGTGAGAAAGGACTAGTGGCCCAAAAGTCCCAACTCATTTTTGGGCACTAGTCACTAGTCCTATCTCATCTAAACCTAGTATAATATGTATATATATATATACTGTTGATGGACAAAATCCTGCACCACTTTGCGCACACTTCTCTTGCTGCCCTCGTTCTCCCTCGTTAACATCGGGGCCACCACAGTGAGAAAACAAAAACAAGTTGAAGGTCCAAAATCCTGCACCGCCTCCTCAGAGGGGTCGCGCCAACATTGAATGAGGGGGCACGGGGGTTGCTATGCGACCCTTCCAGGGTAAAGTGGTGAGGTGGTGCAGGATTTTGTCCATCAACAGTACTCATATACATATCAAACACATCCGGATACTTGTGCAACTTGTGCATAGAAATTCCTTAGGACAACTCTTGAAGGCCTTCACCAGCCGGAAGTCTAACCGTGGGCGACCACTGCTTCTTGCGACCAGGCGACGCGGCCCAGGCGTCGACCACCAACTTCTGAGCCTCCTCGTTGATGTTGTGCCAGTTCCTCAACACGCTCAGCACACGACGACCGACCTGAAGGACGGCTTCGGCGCATGCGGAGAGAGAAGTAAACGGATGGCGTACCGGAAAAAGACCGGGCGAAGGCCAGCGACGAGACCCAAAGAGTTGAGGAGTTGAGGACTTTGACAGGTGAACAACAACAACAACAACAACAACAACAACAACAACAACACTATAGACATCTACATAGAAGTCGTTTTCGTTGTAACCAGGTCCCATAACACAACATTTGGGTGATAGCACTATTGAGTTGAAGTATCCAGTGGCAGCCATAAAGCGTCAAAAGCGCTGCCATGTGTGATGTCAGAGACACGAAAAGCGCATCTTACTCGCATTTGGTGGTTTGTCTTGCCAATTGAAAAGCCCCTTGATTTTATAGAATTTAATGGGCCAGGATGGAATGAGAAATTAAGGTTTTGGCAGCGCATTACTGGAGGAAAGACCAATGAGGATGCTGAGCAGCAAGATCCAGGTGTCTGCCGCAGTAGATTTCTTGGGATTGTGGCACGGGAAGCGCATTTAGAACATGAAGGGGAATCGAAGGATTTGAAAGTGGAGTTCACTCTTGAGGGCATCTTGGAGTTTAGAAGGACGAGCACCATGTTGGAACTACACAGCAGGAAGCCGGAGGTCAAACGAAAAAGACCCAACTACAATGGTCACAAGCGAAGATTTCTGGCGAAGCAAATCAACCGAGTAAAGTACCTAATCTGTGCTTTAAAATGTGTTGCGCTTACTTCCATTTGGTTTGTTGAAGATTTTGGTAAAACCACAAGCTGCCCTAAGCTGCTCTCAACATAACCCTTCCTCTCTTAGCTGAGGCATGGATCTTCTGGTCCATGCAGATCCAGGATTGAGGGCCTGATGTCTCGGACCTGCAGATGTCATAGACAAACATGCTTCCAGCAGCTTCGACCATTGCTGGCCAGATTGCTGGAATTTCTGGCGATCTTTTGGGAGTTTGCCAAGGGGGTTCAAGACACCTTTGTGGGGGCCTTGTTATGTGTTGAGCAAAGCAGTGGTGCATTGAACACCATGTTTTCACATGCCCGGTGTGATGAGCGAGGTCCAGCGGGTTGTGGGCAAAGCTGAGCAAGGCAAGCGACGGCAGTGGTTTTTGATGGGAGAGCAGCTGTCACCAAAGTGCTGTACTGCAATTCTGGGAATGGGAAACGCCAGAATGTTTAGAGTAGAGCAGGGCCGAGGTGATCGAAGATACCAAATTTGGGGGGGCAGCAACTTATCTAATTGTGAACCTTGTTTCATACTGTTTCTATCTGTTTCTTTATGTTTCCTTGCTGTGGTTTGACTTGTTTCCATGCCACGCCAAAGACACTGGGCCAAGGCAAGGAGGAGATGCCCAATTAAGGCCAAGAAAGTTCATCAGTTCCTTCTTAGCCAGTACCTCAAAGCGGCAGGACGGCAAGAAATTGACCGTGATTTTGGGAGAATATGCAAACAACAGCGATAGCTGCTTGCCAAGGATAACTTTGAACATTGAAACGAAGCCTGTTCCACAATTCTAATGTAGCTTTACTTTGAAGAGGTATGATGAAGTCACCCGAATTTAGTTGTTTTTATCTTTTGATCAGGTGAGTGCAGTGGATCCGATGCATCGTTCAATGACGAATTGGCAATGGCCGAAGAGACACTTGATACCGACGAAGAGCTCAAAATGCACATTTTGGGCATGCAGAGCTCCTGGACCCAGCAAGGCCCCAAGTCTTTTTGCCAAGAATCATGCAGGTGTTGCAACCAGTGCACTATGTTGTTGAGTTTGCGTTGGTCAGTTTTGCAAAACGACCTTTGTCAGCCACATTCTGAATCTTTTTGAGGGTTGTGGAGAGTAACTTTTGGACATCGTTTCGGGAGCTACCCACGCGGTGGCTCTCGCCGGGCAACCTGCGGATGTTATGGCAGCAAATGCGCCAAACTGACGACACCATATCGCTCTTTGGATGATTTAATCATGTCGACAGGCATTCAGTCTATTTCATAATAAGCACCATCACATGCCAAAGCCTCGCCAAGGTATCAAACATTTTGGAGAGCATACCAGTCCGAATGGCGAGGGGTGCTTAAGTGGCTGCCCCCCGTCAACACACGGGGCATGCGACACATGCTGCAGCCTGAAGGAACAATTTCGAACTACACGAGACCTTTAGCAACGATTAGTGTTGTTGTGAGTCTTCAAGCTCTTGAATACACCTGCTATAGAATCACTCCGGTTGGTCTCAGGATGCGCAAGCGCTCTTCGAAGTATCAAAGGAATACAAGTCCCATATCGACCAATTTGGGCGAGACAGAGCTTTAGAAGAATTTCTTCAGGCTCAGGGTTCCATCTCATAGGTTTTGCAGGTTTTTAATTGTTTCCTTCAGTTTGACTTTTCATGAGTCTGAAGGCCCAGTCCCCAATCTCCTGCCCTGGAAGCCCAATCACGATCTTTTGGGCGCCTCTCTCGCAATCAGTGAAATGCACAGTCACGTTGGACGGACAGCAGGGCTTGCCAAGTGAGTGCCATGTTTTAAGGACGGAATGGATCAGGCCAAATGGTCGATACCAAGAGATCGAAACTCACGTGCATATAAGAGCAGCCAAATGCTTCCCAAACCCAAGTTCAAGATCCATGCAACATGGATCCACAACGTTGTCCTCTACCTTTGGGTATGCGACCCGCGACTACCGTCGGACTCTTCAATGGTCATTGAAGCGGGTTGCAGGGCGATTGAGTTTGCAGTTGACCTCATCAAGCAAAAGGGGGGGCACAGTATCATCAGAGATCATCATAATGGATGCTTGGTTCAACCGGTTTTGGATCTGGAGAGGGTGGGGGGGAAAACACCACTGATGAGACCCAAACCTTCCAACGTGTTTTGTGCAAGTATTTTGGGGACATTTGGGGACCTGAGCCTTCAACAACAAAACTTCCACTCGATCAACTTGCCCAGAATCTAAGGCAGATAACTGCGTGAGAGAAACAAAAAATCAAATGCTGCTGAAATTTCTGAACTACCTCACAGCCTCTGGCAAGTGTAAGCTCACAGCACTATTATTTAGTGCTGTGGGCCACACTCATGGTCCACTTGGCAGCTTGTATGCATGCTACTAAGTTGACAAGAACTTGGCAGCTTGTACGCATGCTACTAAGTTGACAAGAACTTGTTGACCACCCTCTTGTTTTCAAAACTCTGAGTTGAGACATGCTAAGACCAACTGTTCGGACTCCTCGCAACTGCAATGCGCTATTGTGACATACTATGCGATGCAGACGATATCACAGAGCAGGTGCCCAAGATTGCCCAGTTAAAATCACAACCGTGCAACTTTGTACGGTGAATCACAGTGCACCGCCAAGCATCCTGTAAGGAAGATCAACTACTTGCTTCACAAAATCGGGATCCGTGAGTGGATAGGGGAACATGCCCAGATCAAAGTGGAGTTCATATCAGGAGTGCGAGACTGGAAACAGTGGACCCTTGACCGTGATTAATTTGGCCGGTGGCGAACAGCACCAATCAACCACTAAACGCTAAAAGTCAGACATGTCTTTAATCGATCCACTCACTCACCATCGCTCCGTCACTGCTTGGCCAGGTTGAACCGGGCACCAGCGTCCTACGCAGGAGGATTGAGAGATGATGATACCGGGTGGCATGCCTTTATCATGGCTCGACGGAAAGGCTCATTCCTTAAGTCTGATAGTTCCTTTATGTTCCTTTCAAGTTCAAACAAACAAGTGTTTCTAGGTTTGAGGCTTCAATTTTCACTGTCCATTCCCTGCAGACCTTCCCCATAACTTGGAGATCACTGCTGCTGGACGGGGCGCTAGATTCCCCAATCACCCGGACGATGTGGTGACGATGGTGAAGAAACATGCATCCGATCAATACCTTGGCCAGGACTCCGAAACCTTGGTTTGGAAACATGTCAAACCAACCTTCATGTTTAACATATTCCTCCTCAGCCAACCCCTTGAGGAAGCCGTTTTGTCATTTCCTCATCGCTACCTGCAGCTGATGGGTCCGATCCCACAGGTACCACGGCCACTGAGAGCAGTAAAGCCGGCCAAACGGAAAAGTTATCTCACCCTGGCATCAATTCTTTTGAAAAAGGTTGCTATGGAAAGCACAGCAAGGTCAGTCCGTTTCCTGGTCGCCCTGTGCACAGACTTGACTCCTCAGCCAGTGCCACGATTGCCGTGGTTCGAGGAAGAGGTCGAGAACGACCAGATTGCGGTAGGACTGCCTCCGGCGATGGGCCGGCTGTGCCCGTCAATGAAGTTCACTGTGCGCTTGAGAGGGTAAAGTCTCAAATCATTGTTAAGTGTATGAACAGCAGTCACCATGTTGCAACTTCATGCAACATTCATGCATTGCACGGTTGACTCCCAGTGATTTTCGTTTGCAAAGCCGTTTGGCTGTTTTGTTTTTTGAAGCGTGGAGGGGAAGTTTGGTTCAAGGCAGGAATCGCTTGTGAGTGAAGGTGGAAACAACGACCATCCTAACCCGCTTTCAAGGCAACCCCTCTATCTCTCTTGGAGATGGCTCAGGTGCATTCCCCTCATGTTTACATAAATCTGTCCAGCCTCATCCTGGAGGTCAATGATGACCAGCATCAGAGTTCTCTTGAGCCTGACAGCTTGGAGGAGCAGGGTTCAGGAAAGGGTCCCCACTGCTCAGTTGATCCTGTGCAGGACCAGGAGACCGAAGACCTTCACGAGTTCATCTATGAGTCGGATGCCTATGAAGACTCACAGGCCTTATTCTCAGAATTCTAGGAATCAGCAACCACAATGAACCAAGTTTGAGATTGAGCCTGCCTTCAGAGGTCACCGAAGATGTTCTACGAAGCCGAAAGGCCCACGTCTTTTTCTTGGTTCAATGATTGCTTTGTTTGTACCCGGCTTCAGGTAGTTAAGCAACTATGGGAAGAAAAGCCCTGGCGCACTCGAGAGGCTGGTCAGAGTCCAAATATCATACAAACACTTGCTTCAGTCAGCCCGAGCGCCCAGGCCTCAAAGAGGAGAAAACTCTCATGCACGGAGCCTGATGTTGGCGGAGAGCTTCAGTAGTTTTTGCACCAAGTGCTGGTTTATGCTGGTTTGCATTCAAACTGGTGTTCTGACATTTGCTGTCACTGTGCAGATAATTTATCAGCAAGATCTAGACTCTAGACGACAATTTGATGCATAGTAGAAAAAAGGTCTTCCCGTCCCATATCGTGTCACTTAATGTTTGTTTGACCAGTGATCCTTTGTCACGCACCTGTCGCGTCTTGACTTTGAGCTTTACATTTTACATGGGTTTGCTCGCAAGTCTTTCGTGTGTTCAATGGTTTTTTTGGGGCGATCTTCATGATGGCCAAACAATCTGTGAGCCTCCGGGCCGCTGTTTGCATTGTGGCATCAACCAAGCTTGCCAACCTGGATGGTGATGAACATTCGCAGCAGTCAAATCAGTCTGTGGGCCCTGGGGCAGGTTAATTAAATGAACGAGTCAAACCATGTCAAACCGATTTCTAATTTCATTGTATGGCAAGGTCAAGGGGCAATAAGGTGAAGAAGTCCATCCTGAAGGTGAAGGAGCTTGGGGCCCAGTAACTGACAATCTCCAAACATTACTAAGTAGAGTAAGACCTTTTGCAAACATCTCAGGCGCTACTTTCCCAAGACTTCAGTGCCAGCTGCTGGAAAGGATGCCCCTTTTCACTTTAGATCTATTGATGATACTTACAAGTGGGCTGACATCTTTCTGAAACGCATTGCACGTGTCTACGGTTCACAGTGGCTTTGCCAGCAGCTGATGAGCTGGAAATGGTCTATGTCGACCAGCTTCTCCGGCGTTGGTTGTGCAGAAAGTGTCCAGTCCCTAGTTCTCCTCCTGTTGCATATGCTCGCAAAAGCTGAAAAATAGTATCCGGAAAGTCCAGATTCCTCTCAGGCTGTCATGAGTCTGGCAAAAGCTTCAGAGCGCTTTTTGAAGAAGAAGGGAATCTCTAGTGTTGGCCACGTCAAGCTCGAATCTGCATGTGAGATCGACACGAAGTGTCAAAAGGTTCTGAAGTCGACCTATGGGCATTGCGTTTTTCAGGACATCACCAAATTGGACATCGAGAAGAAGGTTGGTTACTGCACTTCTCACTGCCAAATGTGCAAACTCCAGCCCAAGCTAGACGACCAGAAACGTTTCTTGCCATCAACAGCTGAAATTGTTCTTTAGACAACACAATCATCCGACCCTGAGCACTCTGACCAGCAAGGCTTGCGGGTCAACGTTGCAGGCCCAGACCTTGGCCAAACATCTTTCACTGATATTGGCGATCAAATGACTGACCGTTTTGTATCCCCCAGGACCCATCTGCATCGACTACTCAATGATGGGGCTACGAGCGAAGGAGAAGGGCCCATCCGCCATTGTTCACCAAGCTTACTATAGGCAAATGGATGCCAGTTCCAACAAGATCTTGGTCATTGAAAATGTTCCAGAGTACGAAGAGAGGGTTGTCAGAAGCTCTCTCTCTTCCTGCTGGACCCTGGTTTCAGTCAGGGTGGACCCCAGGGTGCTGGGGTTTGGGACGGCCAGAGCAAGGGTCTTCATTGTGGCCTACCGCTCCGACAAGTTGCAGTGGGTTTCCCCTTTCTCACTGGCTTCCTTGGTCGGCTGCCTGAGCAGTCAGGTGGCTCTGAAGGCCAAAGATTACTTTTGGATGCAGCTCCCAAAATCTGTTCTGACCAGATCCAACGACCCTTTTGTTGCAATGAGATGGTCATCTTCAAACGGAAGGGAATTTGAAGTTGGGGGTAGCTGGCCACTTGTTTCATAAGACCCACCCAAACAAAACATACACTGGGTCCTCCACGGTCAATCACCAAGACCCAAGGAAGAGAACCTGGCATCCTACAATGCCACCACGGACTATGAATTCCCCGACTTGAACCAGTATGCCAGCAACGACCGGGGAAGAGGAGAGACCAAGGATTGCAGTCTACCCACGCTCACTACGACGAGTGGCAAGATTTTTTTCCAAGGCTGTCTAAACAACAAACGGCCTTGCCTAGAATCAAAACCTGTGCATAAGGGTTAGTGCTATACCAGCTTGTGCCCAGAATTGCTGTGTCTCTACTCACCTGTGGCTAGCACTCACATCCCGGCCAGGTCCACGGGCGATTTATCCATGGAGTGGAGATGTTGTCGAGCCACGTCTTGCCCTGCACAGATGAACATGCCAAGAGATCGGGCGCCCCAAAGCTTGATATCACAGGGGTTCCGAGTACTGCCCTGGCAAAGATGGCAGGTAATGCAATGAATGTACCAACTGTTGGTTGCATCATTTTGGCTTGTGCACTGTCATTGAAACCAAAGGTGCACTAATTCACAGATTGGTGCGCTAATTGATGTCATCAAATTAACACACTGGACAATGTAATGCTCTAGACTGTAAACGTTGCTGAACAGCAGTCGAAAATGGCCTGCTTGGGAATAGCTTTATGTTCTGTGTTCACTTTTGGCGCTGCTTGCTTTGGTGAATCCGTTTGTTCAGTTGCAACTTACAACTCATTGAGGGGAACTGTTTCTTCTTGCCTTCCTGTGTGCCCAAACATGTTTCAGTTCAGCCCATTGGCAAAGCACACAAACCACTGCTGCTGCTATAAACCATTGAACCATGAACCATGGTCTTGGTGGAACAGTGACATGGTCTGGGTACTAAGAATCATCTCTTGGTCTTCCATCCCTCCCTGTTCCCTCTACACTCTCGTGCTGCAACGCCTTCCTGAACATGGCAAAGCGGAAGGCTCCTGGCGGTCCGGGCCATGGAGCCAAAACTGCCAGGGTTGACCAGCCATGGGCTGACTTTATTATCACAGCGATTGAGCCCTTTGTCTGGAACAGCTATTATTATAATATCATTATATAGGGCACATGAAATGCTACTTTGTTTTTTCACCTCTTGGTAGTTTCCTGACTAGGTCAGGGAGCCTAAGCCTAAGGTCGTTTGATGTCGAGAAGGATGAACACCCTGTCAAGTGGCTGGTTGACAAGCTGGCTATCAACTTGATGCCAGCCATTCACACGTGGTTGCAAAGTGTTGCTGGTGGATTTCAAGAGCCATCAACTGTAGCCATCCCAGTGCCTTGGTTTGTGGAACTTGTTCTCCAAGCGTCCAACCAGCCTCAGCACGGTCAGGCACAAGTTAATCTGGTTTGGTATGCCATTCCGAACCCTAATCCCGCTAGACCAGGGACTATGATTCAGTAACACTGAACCCAGGCGTATGGCAATTGGGCATTGCAGGTTCCTTTGCTGGGCCTTTGGTATCGCAAGCCAGTGGATGGTTTTCCACCACTGCAGGGGTGGAAGAACACAGCCCTAGATTTGATCCGTGGTGGCTATGAATCATGGAGGGAGCCAATGGAATGCAAGCTGAAGTCCGGACATACTCATGGAGCGCCGATAGACTTTGGAGCCTTGCAGGTCGTGAAGGGTCTGGGCAGGCTCTCCGTTTTGTACTTTGCTGTTTTGTGGACCTTCTTCAACAAGAATGACCTCACCCCAGAACAGCTGGCTGATTTTGAGAGGCGCACATCAATGAGGGGGGGAGCGTGTCATGATGTCTTCCCTTTTAACAACTAACACCTTTGGGCCAAAGTATAATTTGTGGAGCAATCGCTGCCAGTTAGTAGATAGTTTGGTAGGAACTGGGGCTGGGATAGTCTGGAAGATAGTCTGGGGATGTCTGGAAGATAGTCTGGGGATGTTTGGAAGATAGTCTGGGGATGTCTGGAAGATAGTCTGCGAGATAGTCTGGGGGATAGTCTGGAAAGACAATACTCGTCGTCCTTTTGGAAGTAAAAGTCTGGAAGTCCAAAGGGTGATGGTTTGGTCGAAACCGTCGTCCCCTGGATGGTCTGGGAAGTGTTCCCTGGGCTAGCCCAAATGTTCCAGACTATCCCCAGACTATCCTCAGACTATCCCCAGACCATCCCAAACTATTGCTAGTGTCCCTGGGCCATCCCCAAACTACACCCAGACTATCTCAGGGGGGTGATGGTTTGGTCGAAACCGTCGTCCCTGAGGGTCGATAGAAATTTGATCCCAAAGGGTGAGCAGTAGAGTCTTGGAGGGAGTTGGTGAGAGAGGTCAGAGTCAGTCCAAAACAGATAGTTTGGGACATTCCCCATCACCCCACGCTTGGTCGATACTATCATCCTTGGGATAGTCAGGGCCATAGTTCGAGACAATTAGACCATTAACCTCAGATTAATAACAGTCCTGGCTGGGTAAGAGAAAACTCTCTCAAACCCTCTCCTGATTGGATTGAGCATGTGGGCCATACCAAATTCGGTTCAATGATTCTGCACCATCGGCCAAATTTGGCTAATGTTGGCTACTGTGGGACAGGTGGGCTGAGAGCATTTTCAAAATCAGCATCGCCATCGTGGATGAACATGCAGCCGCTGATTTTGGGCATGAGTGGCGCAGACTTCAAACACATGAACAACAGGCTGAGCGGCAGAAGAAGTCATTACTGCAGAAATCCCTCATCTTCGCAGCTCGAGCTGCCGAGCTCGCTCTCAAGGAGATGGATTACAGAAAGTCCTGTTAGCCTGATTTTTCAACTTAGTCTGAACCTGTTGGTAGGTATTGTCCAAACCCACTGAAAGGTTTCCCATGCAGCGCTGGGGTCTTTTTTGCGTGGAGTCTGAACTGTTTGAACTTGTTGGTGAGTATTGTCCAAAACACTGAAAGGACCCCCATATCTATGCTTTGTCTGGCACTGGCTTTCGAGATGCTTACTTGGCAGCTGTCAAAGAGTACAACGAGTTTGGGGTTGCACGTAACAACTCCAAATACCAAATTGATCATGGAAGTGCTCTGGAGCTTTATGGATTGAAAGAAGCTTAGCCAATATCAATTATAGGTCCTATCAACCACCAAAGTTCAGCAACTCACTTCAAATTCAAGTTACTAATCGTCAACAAAGTGTTTGATTTCCAACCCCTCGTCGGGCCCATCCATGCCTGCAATCTGACCTTCTTCTGATTGCCTGGCGCCAAAGGTTGGTGTGGCTGATGAAGTTTGGGCGATGCTGGAACGGCACCTTCACCTCTTCCGGTTTGAGCAGTCAGGCCCGCCTCTTTGTATAATCCTACCGTTTGAAGAAACATTGTATGATCTTGTATGTGTCAATCTACTTCGTTTCAGAGTTGGGTTTGATGGGTTCTGCCCCTGCAGCCTTCAGCCGGGACACCCTCATGGATGCACGCTGGCTTTTAGATGGAGTCCCCCGATTGTCAAACCATTTCTGGCACGATGCCTTGAGAATGGACGCCATGAAGCAAGCGTTGTTTATGCGCCGAGTCCTTGTACTTCACCAATTGTCCACAAAGCGTGGTGGGCGGGCATCTTCTGCTCGACTCAGCCAGCCAGACTGGGTTTTGGAAGCAGATCGGATGACTTTCCTCGGCTTTGTCATCCAGGAGATGACCAAAGCAACAGCTGATGATGGGACTCCTTTGTTCCCAGCGGATGTGATTGACAAAGTTGCCCAAAGAGCTGTTGAAGGGTGGGGCGTGACTAAATATTTGATACAGCATCGAAGTAATAAGTGATTAGTGCTTTTGAGGGTACGCCATTGTTCAGCCCTGGTCAGCTGTGTTCCCCTGAACAGGGACTTCCACAACGAAGTGTCCGAAGTCATCACCATCAAGGACCCGGCCTTCCGTCCATCCTTTCTGCAGTTTTGGATGGAGAACCTTCCAGCCCCAAAGGAGGTAGCGAATCCTTTCAAAGCAGCGGACGAGCAGATCACCCAGCTTTCCAATGACGCGCGTCAGGCGGCATGGGAGCGAGATACATTGCTTCTTGCCAAAGATGTGGCGTCATTGGGGCGCCTTTTTGACTGTGAAGTCAAGTCAGAGAAGTCCAGGCGCTGCCAGAAGATACTACACATCCGAGCTCAGAATTGTATAGGAGCATCGCTGGTGGAGAACTTTATGAGTTCCAGCGTTGCCTATCTCCATGGCAAGTCTTCAGAACTGATGAACTCCGTTGACAAGGCCCGGTGGGTTAAAGCAGGGTTTGTGACTGATGGTTTGTGGCGTAAGTCAAACTGCCACCCACTGGACCATTCTGTAATATTATGTACAAACAAGATTCAAGATCACTTCACAATCGACATATGAAATCCATGAAGCCTGGCCCCTCCTTGCAGTTTATTGACGACAACAGCCGGGAAGATGCTGGATTCCTTGTGTGGTGCGATATGACCAAGCTTGGCCGACTTTCGAACCACGATTTAAACCACACAGTGGACATCATCGCCAGCGTGCTGCAGAGGAAGCCAACCCACAGCGCAGCCTTTCTGGTGGCCCCTCACCTACCCTCAGAGAAGGTAGTGGGGGGACTACGGGGTGAGCGGAGGTTCTTTGGACCTAGACAAGATCTGAATCTGTTGTGGTTTTAATGGTGTTATCCTTCAATGGTTTTATCCTCGTCGGATTCAATAATTTGATGGTTATGTTTGTCTCCCTCTCAAAAAGCAATGACGAAAAATCTTTGGGTGTTGCATAGAGTTTTTTTGCAGAAGATCTCAAATAACACTCCCAGGCCCAATAGTTTGCATCTAAGGCGGGTTGAAGACAAGTGTGACATGAAAGGGCTGATGTCAACATTGCTGAGCATCAAAATGGAACCACCACCCACGAGCAAGCGGGTGCCCATGATCTTTTACGCCTACCTCATTGTGGAGGAGGCCACCTCTGCGGACAACATTTTTGGTGAATGCAGCCTTATGACTGACAGGCCAGACCTAGTCTTGGGAAACATGTCAAATACACAACCACTAAACCCAAGTGTGCCCCGCCACAACCCGAGCAGGAGCCCCAGGGCCTCTTTGCCATGGACATCCGAGAGCTCGTACATCGTGCCTGTTGCAGAACGTGATTCTTTGCCACACGCAGCGGAAGGGTCACGGCATTCCGGATCAATTCAGCGCAGCTTCCAGTTTTAATCCTTTGACGAGTGAACAAGTCTTTGATATGGAATTAGGCCCTACATATTATATTTGGTTATACTGGTATGTTTTGTGTCCTTTAAAGGAAGCTGGGCGACCAAGGTCTTATTCAGACGTTCAAGAGACTGCACAGCTCTTGGCCGGCAGGGACTTCCCCACCAGCATCCTCCAGGCGATCCTGTCAAAGGCCAAGTTGCCTTCAAGATTCCTGGCTGTTGTGAACACTACCCCGTACGACAACTGGTTGGAAACGGTAGTCCTAGAGTGGCGCACCAGCACCAATCAAAGAATGCGGTCTTTGTCCATCTGTGAAAGCAAATACGCTTCGGCTCTGGACTATTGCCAAAAGACGATGGCAATGAAGTTGATGGAGGACTGGTATTGAATTTCTCTAAATAAGATCTATTCAACGCTCTTCAATAAGAAGTCAGACTTTGATATGAAACCGGTCTCAATTGTCAATTGGATTCAATTGGATTGAGTATGAATTCTTTCTGACTCAGACCAGGCTATATTGTATCGTATTCCCGCATCACCTCTAAACTCTAACTAAACGTGACAACTACTGCGCAACCCTGGAGGATTGGAAGAGTGGGAAGCACCTGATGGGGGGGGGGTGAGGCCATACGAGAAAGATCCTGTTGTCAAGAACGAGATGGTTGACCTCCATGACTTCAAGTTCCATCATGTGAAGGTGGACGTTATCCCCAACAAAACCGGCTGGGAGCGCTTCAAGATATCGCTGCCACAGGCAGTCCGCCAACTGTATGCAAGGGACGTGGTATTTGGACCAGATTGGGCAGGGATACTTCAGGACTTCGACAAGAGGCCACCCGACAGAATCTTAGACTTCTTTTTGCTATATTTCCTGGATTCTTCCTGACTGATGTAATTACACACACTGGACTAGTCTCCACAGCCCAGTCCCAGGTTTGGCCTCCAAGCTTCAGCTCCGATCGTTGCAGCACCACCACCTCCGGAGACACGGAAAGAGCCAGACGTATTGCCCTGGGACGGGGAACCCGAAACGATTGCACAGCTGCTCGAAGCGTATGTGGTTGAGGCTAAGATCACAGGTAAGGATCCTGCGACAACCCTTTATGCAGTTCAGTCAACTAAGCGGAATGGGACCCTCAGCGAGATCACTGCTAACCAACCTTACAAGCTTTTTCTGGCACCTCGTCGAAACAGATTGATTGGTCTTGGTATGTCTCAAAACGCTATGATGCCTGGGGCGGCAAAGCCTCTATAATTTAAATCTTATCATCTTAAAGACTTAGTAACCAGACCCGACCAGACCCACTGTCTTCCAATTCGCTTGAGGCAGCTCACAGCGATGTTACCATCCGTGACGACGAGTATCTTATTGCACATGGGGCTTCGAAGTGGATCAAGCCGGAGAAGGTTGCTGATTTGAAAAGGAAGGGCAACACAGGCCTGCGCAGTTGGAGTCACCAGTTGGAATGCACATTATGCTGATATTATGTTTTGGGGCACACCTTTGCTTCAGCTCATTGCGCATGTGTCCCACCCAGCCTGACCAGGATCAAGCTCCCCAGGTTTCACGGTTTGTTTTAGCAAGGGATTTAGACCGTTTTGCCCATGCCGAGCAATTTGACGGACCTGCTAGCCCAGCATGGCTTTGACCAGGACCAGTGATTCAATGGCCTAAACTTCAGCTGCAACCTCCCAAAGCCCAGCTCTCGTCTCCCTTCCCACGCAGGACTTTGGTGGGCTTGCACTGTCTGATGAAGGGGCCACGAAGACCCCACCATGCAAGCAGGCCACAGGGACAAGGGTTGCTGGTGACAGGTTCATCCCCACACTGTGCTCACCGGACCAGGCTCAGCCTTCACCACGATCTTCCCATTCGTCTGGCACACCAGTTTCGCCGCCTGTGCCAGTGCCAGTGCAAACAACACAGGCAGGCAATCGATTTGCGGCTGGGTCTTTTCTGGAAGGCTGTTGTCATACCAAAGAAAATTCTGAAAGGCTTTTGTCATATCATAGGAAATGTGTTGCCAGAATCATGCTTTGTCACAAAATTGCCTTTTAACTCCCAATCATTGAAACCAATACTTCTCTCTGACTGTGGTGCAGGATCAAAAGAACAGGAGAGAATTGGTGGAGCCAAAGTCTTTGGCCCTTACTAATGGTGAGGATGATGGCCAAGGAAAGCCCAACGAGCCAAAAGCAAAGGAACCAAAGCCAACAGTTCCTATGACAACAAGTGAATGCAATGAGAAGACCAACCCAGTGTTGACGAGTGCCCAGATCGAACAATTACAAAATGAAGTGGACGGCGCCTCAAAACCGAAGAGAGGCAAGAATGAATATGCCAAGAACACTGAGGAGATGAGCGGCACAAAGGAAGAAGATGGTAAACCTGCAAAACAGAAGAAAGACAAGAAGGAAGATGACAAGAACACTAAGTCGAGCCGCCAAAAAAAAGGAAGATGATGATAGAGAAGACAAGAAGGATGAAAAGAAAAAGAAGGAGAGCAAGGCAGCTGCAAAGGTCAAGGCGTCGAAGAAACCCCAACCCAAAAAGAAGTCAAAGAAGAACGAATCAGAGGAAGAGGAAGAAGACAACGAGTTAGATTCAGAAGAGCCGCTGTCGGAGGAGTATGACGACTTGCCAGACTGTTCATCGGATGAAGATGAGCCTGCTGATGAACCACCCAATGGCAAGAAGGATGAGAAGGACAAGGAGGGGGCGAAGAAGAAGAAGAAGAACAATGATGCGATGCCAAAGAACGAGGGACCGAAGGACCGAAGATCATTCATCAAGAATCTCGTGGACAACTTTGACGATGAGACGGACCCAAAGGGCGAGAGTGGCAAGGCGAAGAGAAAGCATGATGCCAACGAGGAGAGTGGCAATGCAAAGAATGGTAAACATAATGAAGACAAACAGAAAAGGAAGGCTGTGGCGAAAGAGTGCTCCAAGAAGAAGAAGAAGAAGGAGGAAGAAGAAGATGAGAAGGCCAAGGCAGAGGGCACAAAGAAGGAAGCAGAAACAAGCAGGAACCAAGAAAACATCGCCAAGCCGCACGACCAGAAGGGCATGCCATCAACTGCCATGGAAGGCAGTGGAGGTGTCCCAGAAGTACCACTCCCATTCAATCGAGATGAACTTCCCAAAGAGCTCCATGCCAAATGGGAAGCCATGCTCAAAGAATTTGAAGAGCACAAGAAACAGAAGAAAGAAGCCAATGAAGCCAAGAAGAAGGATGCCGAAAGCAAGGAGGCGGCCGAGCTTGAACATGCAAACAAGATTGGGGAGGCACAAGGCCAAGGGAAGGGTGCAGAGAAGGCAAGAAGAAGGAGGGCGAAACCAGGAGATTCCAAGCCAATTCAGCAGGAGGAAGGGGGAAAGTCAGCTGGTCACAATGAACGCAGTGAGGTGAATGGTGAGAAAAATAAGAAGAGAAAGGCAGCCAAGAAAGAGAAAGAGGAACAGAATGTGGCAAATGAGGGACGTGAGGCTTCAAGGGCTCTTGGCCGTTCATCGAAAGAGGGGAAGAAGAAAGCAAAGAAGACTGAGCCTGAGGATGGTGATCAAGCCTCAAACAAGGATGATGGTGAAGAGGGTGAAGACTCTGATGCTTCTACGCCTGTTCTTGGGCAGGACAAGTTGTTTCCGAGCGTTTCCGTTTCCGATTGCATTTCCAACAACAGCAACAAGTTGCCGTTTTTTTTAAGGCCACCTTATAGTAGTCATTGACCAACGGCTGAGCTCTTTCAACCAGACTGGGTGACTGTTCAAATCTTGAAGCAAGTTTTCAACTTCTGGCCCACCTCAGGAGGCAAAGTCGAAGGCAAAGGCAGAAAAGAAGCGCAAGGCCATGCGACCTTGCAAATTGCAACAATTACAGTTACAATATCTTCCAGGGTCTTCCAAAGTATCACAAACCAAAAAGGTTCCCACCCTCCCTCACTCTATCACTGTTTGTATAGGCGGGTGTTCTTGGACGTGTGGGCCTTCGCGAAGCCTACTACCACCACATCAAGGATGCGACGGTGCGATTGAAGGCTGAGAGGCCTGACCTCTCGCCGAAAGAGATCCTCGCACTGGCTCGCAAAGAGTGTTGCACTCAATTTCATTCTCCAGTTACTGTCAGCAATGTGTGTTTGTTTGGCAGATTAGATTGATTCACTGATAAGGTGGCGGGATCACCCAGAACGGGTGAATTCCATCAAGAACATGAGCAATAGCGAGCTGAGCCGTAGGAGGCTCAAAGTCCATAAGTCGGCAGAGTCTAACAACGGCGGAGAACCTGCTGCAGAGCAGGAAGCTGAGGGTGCTAATCCTGAGGCCACAGCCAGTGACAGTGCAAATTAGATTATGGCGTGGCCTTATGCTAGTTATAGTTTTGTAGGGGTTTGGCAGTTAGTCGTGAGGGAAATGGCTTGTGTGCGCTATAGACCTTGACTTGATACTATGTTGGTCCAATCAACCTCTTGTTGCTGCCTTCAAGCCTAAGCGCTCGGGACGCCAAAGACTGCCGTGCAATAGGCAATTCTTTCTAGTATGCCATGTGTTTTGGGACCACTGAGAGCAGTGGGCCGTTTGGAGTTCCTTAGACCTGGAGTGCTTTTCAGCACTTCAGCCTGGAAGAGCCAGTCTTCAAGATCGCAATTGGGGAAGATGAGAAACATGCCAGTGGCTTCACTCGGCATGGGTGTACTATTTTTGGGTGCAGTATGTATTGCAGTATGCATTAGGTGCTTGCAGCCACTTAAAGCGAAGCTTCCTGTCAGGCGATTTGCAGCGAACCATGCCATGTGAATGGTCCTCGGACCTCGAGGAGGTTGTGCTGGAGGTCACTGAGAACAAGAGTGTCATGGACACAAAAAAGTCTTCATGGCGAGATCTCTTTCATGAAATGGAAGACGCAGGCCTTGTGGATGTGAGTATCAACGGTCATGACTGTGAGAAACCGGGCTCTGGCAGTTCTGAGGGTCCAACACTGAGTTTCTTTCTTCCGTTTTTATTTGATATTTGATTTGATATTAGTCCGTAACTGACTTATGAGCTGTCCCTTTGACTCAGGAGATGATTACTTCATGATAAAGATAAAGCCGACTGCAGTGTTCTACCAATGGACCCAGCCCAATGGACTCAATGGGCTCAAGTATTCCAACATCGCCTCTGCCTTCCCCTGCCAAGTGTCCCAACTTCAGTTAGTAGGTGGTCCCATGTTGGTTGTGTTGATCATTGCTTGATATTGTTGTCTTTTAGGCTCTTGATGAATCAAGAACCTTGATGAAAGCATGGAGGGTCGTCTTCGTCAAGGAGACCAAGGTGTCTATGTCGCAGAAAGCAATGTGATTTAATGTGATGCATAGAAAAACAACAACTCACTGTGCCCACTTCCATCGGGCTTTGACTTGAGGAAGTCTCGCCAAGACACAAAACTGCACTTAGTAATTGGTGAAGGCAGCAACAAAAGGTCTATTGAAAGAACGCATTAGTATGTAGTTGAGTGCACTGTTGTCTGAGGAAAGCCGCTGTATTTTCCCCGACATCAGTTCACTATGTCCAATGAGCAAGTGATTCGATTGCTCTGAGTCAATGAAGTTTGCTGCCTCAGAAATGGCAGTTTTTTGCTGAGTTCACGACTCTGGACACAGTGGATCGCCCCGCTTGAAAAGATTGCTGCTTAGGGCACAGCTGCGGTCACACGACAGGTTGTCACACAAAACCCTTTTTAGAATCTTTGGAACAAGAGAATCCACCAAAAAGTCTGAGACCCAAATACCATGATATGAGACCCAAATCCAATGAAATTGACTTATAGATTATACTCATCTATACGCTCTCAATATAGATATACAAAATCTTGATCACCACTCAACCGTGTGATGTACTGTGCACCCTACGGGGGCCCTACGTCCACCTGTCCGTCCCACCTTCCATACGACTGGAGCCCTGGAGTATCGAGCTTTCACTGTTAACGTCGTTGAGCTTCCAACAGTCGTTGAGCTTCCAACGCTTGCACATCACAACTAAAACACAACAAAAGGCATCCCAAATGACCCTGATCTTGTGGCTCGACTCAGCTAGTCGATCCGATCGTATATCCGTGTTGCACCTTGGGCAGTTTGTCTCCCACCAAGCTGGGTCATGTAAAGCTATGATTGGTTGATTCGTGTTGATTTGTGCGGTCGCCGCGGTTGAAGTGCGGCCTCCGAGTGCCGAGGAGTTCAATTGACCAGAGCGCGCATCTGTCCGATCCAGACCTTCCATGCCCAGGGGCGATTCCATCAATGCTCGGACCTAGCGCTCGGCCGAGCTCGGACGTGCAGGACGTGCAGCTCAATACGTGCGAACAGGTGCGAACATCTTGTGTTCTACCAACGTTCCAGGAACCAAATATGCACACGAGTCCGGAGTCGCATGGTGTTGGGTGGTTCTTAGTCCGGTGAATGCTCTCGGACTGCTGTCACGGGGATTTCGAAGAAAACCCCGTTAC